AGCGGCGGTGCCAAGCAACATTTGTTGATGCTTTGCTTACCTTGCAAGAAAAGTATGACTTGAGTGAAGACACCATCATCGGACTCTATGGGTATGTACATTCAATTTAATTTTAGTTTATAGTGGGTTTGTAACATCTCAATCCACTGTTGAATATTTTTCACGTTGATTAGTTCGATCGGTAGTTTTGATTTTTTTACAATGATATAGTCATGGGTTCAATAAAAGGGATGCAATTAGTCAATTGAGGTTAATTTCTTGATCAGTGCACCAGGTGTTACAGGATTATTATATGAAAATTAACATTGAGTTGAATGATTTGCACTTGGACAGGACATGATTACAGCAGGGATGGACACAACAGCTATCTCAGTGGAATGGGCTATGGCGGAGCTGATCAAGAACCCAAGAGTCCAACAAAAGGCCCAAGAGGAACTAGACCGGGTGATTGGATTGAACGTGTGATGACAGAGTCTGATTTCTCAAGCCTCCCATACTTACAATGTGTAGCCAAGGAGGCACTAAGGCTGCACCCTCCAACTCCACTAATGCTGCCTCACCGTGCCAATGCTAATGTCAAAGTTGGTGGCTATGACATCCCTAAAGGATCAAATGTTCATGTCAATGTATGGGCCGTTGCTCGTGATTCGGCCGTGTGGAGGACCCATTGGAGTTCCGACCAGAGCGATTTTTCGAGGAGGATGTGGACATGAAGGGCCATGTAATAGGCTACTTCCATTTGGTGCAGGAAGAGGGTGTGCCCAGGTGCACAACTTGGATAATTTAGTGACATCTATGTTGGTCATTTGTTACACCATTTTTCATGGGCACCCGCTGAGGGAGTGAAGGCAGAGGAAATTGACATGTCAGAAAATCCAGGATTGGTGACTTACTGAAGACCCCAATACAGGCTGTGCCTACTCCGAGCTGCCTTCACACTTGTACAAACGTGTGGCTGTTGATATGTAATTTTGCTCTTTGCCATTTGGGGTTGCTTATCTCTGATTTTAGGTGGATTTTGAACTTATAATGATATGGTAACATTTTGTTAAAAGATGTTGTATTGGTCCAAAAGAAGGCCAAATAAAGCAATATGATTTATGTAAGTGGCATAGAGTTTTGTTCATTGTTTGGTAATCAACTTATGAAATGCCTGCAGGATGACTACTTTAATTAACCCAATCAACTGAGAAAAAACTTTGTGAAAATTTAAATAAAATAATATTTTCCTAAAACATTTAAAAAAAAAAAAAAAAACCAAGCCATTATTTCATTTACTAAAACGAATGAGAATTATAATTAATTAAAACAAGAAAGGGGAAAAAGAGAGAGATTATATCTTTAAAAATTCGAGAAATTTGTGAAGTTCGAACAACCCAAGAATAAATTTCAACACGTCAAGGTTACCAAATATGGCTAAAGAGGGTTAGAATATGTTATTCTCAATCAAGTTGATAAATAAATAATAAACGAAGGATTTTAAATAGCTTCGTTAACTAAAATAAATCCCTGTGGGTTTTTGGTTGGCAGCATCCATCATATTCAAATTGAAGTAGAAGGAAAAACTCATAGATTAGATTTGAATTCACCGCAAAATTGGATGGCGATAACCACCCCAATCATTACGATCCTAATGATTAGGGATAGATGTGCTTAAAGCTTTCAAGTATGAAGAAAACCATTGACAATATGATTGTATATGGTTGTGCGAGGATGTACGATCAGCTCGGAGTAAAAGTGGAATAAATAGGTCAGGTTAGGCGGGTCAACCCTAACTCGGTCTGCATTAAAGAGGGTTCAACTCGAACCGTCAATAAGACGGGTCGGGTTGAACCTGACCTACATGCAACCCACGGGTTGTTATTTTGTCCTTTCTAAGAAAGGACTGCCAACCCCCCGAGTTGCTATTGCCAACTCGGTGGGTTGGCTGTTGCAACAACGGCCAACACGCCGGGTTGACCCACGGGTTGGCCAAAAAAAAATAAAAATAAAAAACAAAATTAATTTGTTTTTTTGAATTTCTCTTTTACCCTTGAAATATAGTTATTTTATAGTAGTTGGAGGGGTCTTTTTCATCATTTTTTTCTTCTATAAATTAGTCCTAAACTCTCATATTTTCTCACAACTCAAATTCTCTCATTCTCACTAATCTCTATTGAAATCTCTCAATTATTCTCTTAATCTCTTTGTTATCAATTTGCTCTTATTTTAATTTTTATTAGTTTTTGTAATTTTCAATTCATATTTCCAATTTTCCATATTCCAATTCTCCTTCTTTAATTTTTTATTTCTTCTACATCAATTTTTTTTTTTCAACTACAATGGATAGATATTTCTCTCCTATCAATTTCAATGATGAAGGAAACTACTATCCTAGTCGTAGTCCCGCTGAATTTACTAATATGAATGCAGGAGGAGATTCAAATAGTCTTGCTCTCCCAGTCTCAAAATCTGATACACCTCAAAATATGCCCCCGATTCCTCCCCATGCTGCTACACCTACAGCTCTCGGTGGTTCTAGAAGTCGTCTTTGTCCAACTTCATCTCAAGCTGAAGCGGGTTCATCAACTGCTGTCGAAAGCGACGACAGACACACATCAGACGTTTGGACGCATTTCGATAAGTTTTACAAGACAGAAAATAGAGTTCAAGTGAAGAAAGCAAGATGCAAGCATTGTGAAAATGTTTATAGAGCTGATTCAGATAATGGTACTAGTACTTTAAAAATGCATGCTAATAAACATATTACTCAACATGGAAATAGAGAAACCAATCAAACTCAAATAACTAATATAGGTACTACTTGACATTATAATTATGATACATATAGGGAATAATTAACTTTATATATTGCTGCAACTGATCAACCTATTAATATGGCTGAAGATGAATACTTGAAAGATTTATTAAAAAATCATTTTTTCCAGGATTGAAAAGTTATTCTAAAACTGCAACTAGAAATGATTTAATAAAATTGTTTAGGAAAATGAAATTAGAATTAAAAAATAAAATACATAGGTGTCAAGATAGTGTGGCTCTAACTACCGATATTTTGAGTGGTAGAGCTAAACAAGATTATATTTGTGTGACTAGTCATTATTTTGATAACCAATGTAAATTAAATAAATCTTTATTAAGATTTAGATTAATGGATGTGGATCATAGTGGTCAACAAATTTATAATAAAATTGTTGAAGTTTTAGAAGATTATGATATTGTTACTAAAGTGATAAGTTTAACTTTAGATAATACAAGTGCTAATACTACAGCTATAGATTTTTTTCAAAGTAATTATCCTTTTTATAACAATTTGAAGTTTTTTCACCAGCGTTGTGCATGTCACATTATTAATTTAATTGCTTAATCTGGAGATCATGGCCATGGCAGAACACATTCCATGGCTCCGTTGGATGTTCCCATTAGAGGAAGAGGCTTTCGCTAAGCATGGAGCTCGAAGAGATCGTCTCACCAAGCAATCATGGAAGAACATACTCTTGCCCGCAAGCAAAGCGGCGGTGCCAAGCAACATTTTGTTGATGCTTTGCTTACCTTGCAAGAAAAGTATGACTTGAGTGAAGACACCATCATCGGACTCTTATGGGTATGTACATTCAATTTTAATTTTAGTTTATAGTGGGTTTGTAACATCTCAATCCACTGTAAAGAATATTTTTCACGTTGATTAGTTCGATCGGTAGTTTTGATTTTTTTACAATGATATAGTCATGTTTCAAATAAAAAGACATGCTATTAGTCAAATTGAGGTTAATTTCTTGATCAGTGCACCAGGTGTTACAGGATTATTATAAATGACAATTAACATGAGTTGATGATTTGCACTTGGACAGGACATGATTCACAGGGATGGACCACAGCTATCTCTGGAATGGGCTATGGCGGAGCTGATCAAGAACCCAAGAGTCCAACAAAAGGCCCAAGAGGAACTAGACCGGTGATTGGAGTTGAACGTGTGATGACAGAGTCTGATTTCTCACGCTCCCATACTTACAATGTGTAGCCAGGAGGCACTAAGGCTGCACCCTCCAACTCCACTAATGCTGCTCTCACCGTGCCAATGCTAATGTCAAAGTTGGTGGCTATGACATCCCTAAAGGATCAAATGTTCATGTCAATGTATGGGCCGTTGCTCGTGATTCGGCCGTGTGGAAGGACCCATTGGAGTTCCGACCAGAGCGATTTTTCAGGAGGATGTGGACATGAAGGGCCATGATTATAGTTACTTCCATTTGGTGCAGGAAGGAGGGTGTGCCCAGTGCACAACTTGGATAAATTTAGTGACATCTATGTTGGGTCATTTGTTACACCTTTTTCATGGGCACCCCTGGGGAGTGAAGGCAGAGAAATGACATGTCAAAATCCAGGATTGGTGACTTACATGAAGACCCCAATACAGGCTGTGCCTACTCCGAGGCTGCCTTCACACTTGTACAACGTGTGGCTGTTGATATGTAATTTTGCTCTTTGCCATTTGGGGTTGCTTATCTCTGATTTTAGGTGATTTTGAACTTAAATGATGTTAATTAAAAAAGTCGTTAACTCTTTATTAATGGAATAACAATGTGAAATTAGAATATATAACGTGAATGTCAATTAAAAAATATGAACCAAAATTATAGTACAAAGCTTGTGGTGTTTTACTACTAGTTGATGACCAAATAATCAATGGGCGAAGAATAGAAGTCTTCACTGTTTCACCTCACCAACCTTTGATTCCTCTCAAGTCCAAATCCTCGTTAAAGTGTCTCCCTTCACCAACCACCTCACACCTACTGAAAACATTCCCCACTCTCAGCTCCAATCCCACGCGCCATTTCATTGGCAAAGACACACCAAGAAAATGCCTAAACTACCCCATACTATTTGCTGAGATGTGTAACATTTTCATTGGTCATCCATCCCAACTACAGAATACTTTAATTTGTGACTTTCTCATGCAAATTCAATTTCACCAACTCCCTATTCCCTCGCTCATATATATCAAACTTAGCCTTAACATTTCTTTCCCTAACAAAACATCCCTTTGCCTTTCAAACATGGCTCTCCCTCTCATACTTTTATCCATTCTCTCCATCTTTCTTGCTTACAAATTATTCCAACGCCTACGATTCAAGCTCCCGCCGGGGCCTCGCCCGTTGCCCATTGTCGGGAACCTCTACGACATAAAGCCAGTGAGGTTCCGCTGCTTCGCCGAATGGGCTCAAGCGTACGGTCCAATTATATCGGTTTGGTTCGGTTCGACTTTGAACGTTATCGTGTCAGATTCAGAATTGGCTAAAGAAGTGCTGAAGGAGAATGATCAGCAGCTGGCTGATAGGCATAGGAGTCGATCAGCTGCAAAGTTTAGTAGAGATGGGAAGGACCTTATATGGGCCGATTACGGACCTCACTATGTAAAGGTTAGAAAGGTTTGTACGCTTGAGCTTTTTACACCAAAGAGATTGGAAGCTTTGAGACCCATCAGAGAAGATGAAGTTACCGCCATGGTTGAATCCATTTTCAAGGACTGCACCGATCCTCGTATGTTTCCTTCTTCTTCTTCTCCTTTGCTTTCGTTTGTTCGTTCTTTCATTAGTTTGGTGTATTGATGAACCTAATTTGTCAACTGTAATTGACTTACTTGCAGTTTGGGTAAAGTGTTAGCCTAACAAATGTGCTAAAGTCCAGTAGGGAATATATAATATAAAAAAATAGAGAGCCTTTTTGCGGAGGTAAATAGAGATGCAAAATTTAACATATATATATTAATCTATGTAATTAATCTTATTATTAAAAGATTAAAGGATTTTTTTTTTTTTTTAAAGAAAAAAGAAATTATAATATTGTCAGTACTTTCCAAAATGGAAGATTGCTACTTTGAATTATTATGTCATTGGTCAATTAAGGAATAAAATCCATACGAAAATTAAGACCTTTCTAATAATCAAAGGGTATTTTGGTAATTACAAACATGTTACTACTGGTGGTGGTACTCTTTTTTCTCTTGACCTATTTCACTACTGGATATGCATTTTCGTATAATTAATAGAATTGGTCTAATATTTTATACAGTTTTAAGAAAACAATGTATATTCTACTGAGATAGATGTTCTCATATCAGTATTATATTATTTTCAAGTATCAGACAAAAAATGGTTCAAATCTCAAAAGAATATATCAGATTCTGGATTCTCATACGTGTAGATTTACAGTTAACCTAATTTTATTAAAAATATTATTGTATAAAAGAATGATTTCATACAGTCAGTAAATAGAGTTGGTTAACTAGTTCATTTCCATGATTTTAATCTTCACAGAAATCAACAAGTTGGCCACCCGTACCACTTTTTTTCTTTTTTCTTTTTCTTTTTCTAATTAAAAGTAGGAGACGAGTATGAATTCCGGCTCCTGAATGGACCCTTTTGTAACTATTTTATAGGCGCATTAATTGACTAACACTTGTGATTTATCATTTATTCATTTATGAACCAGCTCTTTTTCTTTTCTGCATTAACAAAAAAAAAAAAAAATCAATTATTGCCTTCATGTTCAACTTTCAAAACAAATAAAATAATTAGGCAGAGATGCTTTAATTACCTTAATTATGAGATATCCCCACATAATTATTAGAAATAAAAAGCCGCAAATTTTGGAAAAGATGGTTTGGATGACAAAAATCTTTCAATAATTCTTATCTCATCTGTGGCCATTTACATACATGCTAACTGTTTTTTTTTTTTTTTTTTTTGGCCTCCATGGTGGTTAATATGCTACATTTATATCATCTTATTGTTATTTTACCTTATTATATATATAGACTATTTACACAAATTAAATTAATGTAAATATGGGCCTATGCTAATTTATTTTTAAACACAATGTTGTTCCAGAAATTAATGGGAAGAATTTGTTAATAAGGAAGTACTTGGGGGCAGTGGCATTTAACAACATAACAAGGCTAGCATTTGGGAAGAGGTTTGTGAATTCAGAAGGCGTGATGGATGAGCAAGGTTTAGAATTCAAGGCAGTAGTAGCAAATGGGCTTAAGCTTGGAGCATCATTGGCCATGGCAGAACACATTCCATGGCTCCGTTGGATGTTCCCATTAGAGGAAGAGGCTTTCGCTAAGCATGGAGCTCGAAGAGATCGTCTCACCAGAGCAATCATGGAAGAACATACTCTTGCCCGCAAGCAAAGCGGCGGTGCCAAGCAACATTTTGTTGATGCTTTGCTTACCTTGCAAGAAAAGTATGACTTGAGTGAAGACACCATCATCGGACTCTTATGGGTATGTACATTCAATTTTAATTTTAGTTTTATAGTGGGTTTGTAACATCTCAATCCACTGTTAGAATATTTTTCACGTTGATTAGTTCGATCGGTAGTTTTGATTTTTTTACAATGATATAGTCATGGGTTCAAATAAAAAGGGACATGCTATTAGTCAAATTTGAGGTTAATTTCTTGATCAGTGCACCAGGTGTTACAGGATTATTATAAATGACAATTAACATTGAGTTGAATGATTTGCACTTGGACAGGACATGATTACAGCAGGGATGGACACAACAGCTATCTCAGTGGAGTGGGCTATGGCAGAGCTGATCAAGAACCCAAGAGTCCAACAAAAGGCCCAAGAGGAACTAGACCGGGTGATTGGAGTTGAACGTGTGATGACAGAGTCTGATTTCTCAAGCCTCCCATACTTACAATGTGTAGCCAAGGAGGCACTAAGGCTGCACCCTCCAACTCCACTAATGCTGCCTCACCGTGCCAATGCTAATGTCAAAGTTGGTGGCTATGACATCCCTAAAGGATCAAATGTTCATGTCAATGTATGGGCCGTTGCTCGTGATCCGGCCGTGTGGAAGGACCCATTGGAGTTCCGACCAGAGCGATTTTTCGAGGAGGATGTGGACATGAAGGGCCATGATTATAGGCTACTTCCATTTGGTGCAGGAAGGAGGGTGTGCCCAGGTGCACAACTTGGGATAAATTTAGTGACATCTATGTTGGGTCATTTGTTACACCATTTTTCATGGGCACCCGCTGAGGGAGTGAAGGCAGAGGAAATTGACATGTCAGAAAATCCAGGATTGGTGACTTACATGAAGACCCCAATACAGGCTGTGCCTACTCCGAGGCTGCCTTCACACTTGTACAAACGTGTGGCTGTTGATATGTAATTTTGCTCTTTGCCATTTGGGGTTGCTTATCTCTGATTTTAGGTGGATTTTGAACTTATAATGAGATGGTAAATTTGTTAAAAGATGTTGTATTGGTCCAAAAGAAGGCCAAATAAAGCAATATGATTTATGTAAGTGGCATAGAGTTTTGTTCATTGTTTGGTAATCAACTTATGAAATGCCTGCAGGATGACTACTTTAATCAACCCAATCAACTGAGAAAAAACTTTGTGAAAATTTAAATAAAATAATATTTTCCTAAAACATTTAAAAAAAAAAAAAAACCAGCCATTATTTCATTTACTAAAACGAATGAGAATTATAATTAATTAAAACAAGAAAGGGGAAAAAGAGGAGATTATATCTTTAAAATTCGAGAAATTTGTGAAGTTCGAACAACCCAAGAATAAATTTCAGATTGAAGTTACAGTAATAACTTATTGAATAGATCACCACTAGCCACCCTTTATCAATTATTTCCATAGATGTTGTTGATGCTCGTTTCGGCACCACCCAATTCTCCACGTTGATATTGCTATTTGATGAAATTCCACACGTGATGAGGATGCTGAAGTGAAATAAATGCAAAGAAGACTTTTAAAGTGGTTCGGATGCTAAGGTAGCAAGTCTTCCGTCCACTGATTTGTATTGATGTTAGTGTGGGTCAGGTCGCGGGCGACTGACGTACATGAGAGTTATCAAAAGTAAGTGTTTTTTACAAGAAGAGGTAGTTTTTTGTAAAGAATGGCCGAATCCCCTTAATGAAGGGTCTTCTTCATTTATATCAATTGAAGTGTGTAATCATCATTAAATCCATGGGTTGGTGTGATTGTCAGGATATAATCCGGCTTTACTCCCATTTCCCTTTTTCCAAGCTGACTTCGCACGACTTGCTGCAGAGGAATGGACGCGTGTGTGAGCTCCACATTATTTTGCAGGTCTGACGTGTGCATGTTGCCCTGACGGGAGCAGGTCACCCTTCACGTGCCTTTCCCGTGCCAGCCCTTTGTTTACCCGGGCATAACGAAGCCCCCTAGTTTTTAAGGTTTGAGGATCGAACCTTGGAAACTAAGTTATATTGGAGGATTTGGTCGCTCCGACCTGTATGGGATGAGCTCCACAGGACTTTTGGCAACACGATCTCGCGTAATCCCCTGCCTAAGCGACCTGACAATTCTCATCTTAGCGACCTGGACTTGACGGACGCTTCTTTCTGTACCTTAGAGGTTCATGAACCTGGCCTGCGCTGTCAGGCGCTCTGCATGCGTTACTACGCTTGTCAACACATTAAATGCGTGGTATGATGACCCGACGCCGTTTTGACAGCATGTGACGTGTAACACATTTGAAACGACAACCCTTATTACTGCATTTAATGCGACGTGGGTTTGAAACGACGCCCCTTTTCACTACATTTAATGCGGGGGGAGAGAGACTGCCGTTTCGGTTCCCAGGGGCGGTAACCGTCGATTCGTAATCCTTATAAAAACTTGCATTTTTCATTGAGGTCCCCGAAATTTCTTTCGCTTCGATGACAAACTTCTCGCAAACCGGAATCATTCTCTCCCTCTCGCGTTCTCAGCAACCAGAACGAGTTTCGGCCCCAGCTCCATATACCACAGAGTAAGGCTCCCCTTTCCTTTTTTACTTTGCACTGGTTTGGTTGACCACGGCGTTGGGTCTTCCGGTGTTTCACTGGAGTCGCGACGCCGTTATTGGATTCGAGCCGTGGATGGCGGCTTGAATCACCGCTAGGTTTTAAGTTTTTTGTCCCCTGCCGCCGACCGAGACAAACACGAAGGCCTAAATGACCGTGTCTGTCGATGTTGTAGACTGGAATGGAACCGTCAACACCCAGGAGAGGGAGGAGCCAGCTCGTCCTCGCGGGGAGCTCCCAGGAGATGCACCTCTCGATTCTACTCGGTTCTCACCTCCAGGAATATGATAGAATAAAGAAGCAGTTCGACATCCGCACGGAGTGTTCCTCGCCACACTAGGCCGTCATGGCGTCCGGCCGACGGCCTTGCCGCGATCTCTGAGGAGATCTTCAAGGGTGGAGGGAGGATTCCCTTCCATCCTTTTATTAGGTCGGTCCTGGATCATTTCGGATCGCACCGATGCAGTTACCGTCGAATGCGTATGTCATCGTGGTCGCGATGTACATCGCGTGCTGCGAGAACGGCTTAGGAAGCCAATGGCGGTCGAGCTCGGGTCGCCTACTACCTTAAGAAGAGTAGGGACAAGGACTCGTACTACTTGTCTCGGCGCCTACCATTACGCGGGGATACACAGCTATCCCAGCAATGCGGGGCCTACGAGACAAGTGTTTTCTTTTTCTTTATACGGCCACTGCCATTTTCAGGATCCAGTATGTTTTCTTTGTTTGGTGTTATCTGCTCCTTGATCTATATAAACGACCTGTTTTCTTTTGCAGTCAATGAACGCCGAGGAAAAGCTACTCGCCGATCCAACAGACTTGTATCTTTCGGGGTACTGGACGAGGAACAACGAGACGCAGGGAAGCTGTGACGACCGCGAACCTGCGGAAGTACGGTTTTTTCAGCGACAAGGCGTTGTTAGAACCCTCAGAAGGTAGTTTACGTGTCCTTTCTGGTCGTGGAGTAAATTCCCTTACTGACGAGCTAAATGCAGAGACACTGCCCCCAAAGGAGTCCGGGCAGTCCCCCGAGCACCATTTGTTTTCCCTCGATCAAGAGGGAGAGGGAGGAGGAGAGGGAGAGGGAGAGACGGCCGAAGCTGCCCGTGCAATTCCCGCACAACCGCTGCGAGCTTCTGCGCCTCGCAACCCCGTCCTGCGCAAGAAACGACCAGGACAGAACAGTCGCTCAGGCACCTCCTGCTCGCCCGACGAAAGGCTCCGGCCCAAAGGTCCAAGAAGAGGAAACAGGTCCAGGTCGAAGAGTCTGAGACCGAACCAGGAGGAGCCTCTGAGGACGCGCCGAATCCAGAGGTCGGGAAAAGAACCCGCGAGCGAGGCGGTGACTGGCGACAAGGCGAAGACGTGCCTGTTCTGGACTCGTTGGGGAGTCTGTCCGATACCTGCAACCAATTGTCTATGGCCTGCTCGAGTGCGAGCTATCGGAATCGTACGGCGATTTGCAGACACGGCGACGACCTATGGCAACGTCGTTCCAGCATCGGAGCAAGGTAACAGCTGTACTCGAATTTCATTTTGATTTATTTCTACCTCCCTGCTCGCAGGGGTTGCTTGCTGAGGATGTCCATGGAGAAGATGCGGCTGGGGCCCGCAAAGGGGAAAGCGACCTGAGGAGAGTTCGCGAAGCTGAGATAGAACCTGGAATCCGTTGAGGCGGAAAGAACTCAAGCGTTCGAAGCGGCAAACAGGTATCTGAACCAAAAGACGCTGTTCAGCGAACAGTGGACTTCCAGAAGGCGAGCTAAATCGTCGTGCGAGGAAGTCAAGGAACTTCAAAGACCACCGCCAGGCTCTCTAGGGAGATCGCAGAAGACCAGAGCTCCGCGACCTTCGCACGGGCTCAGCGAGCTAAAAGAGACAAGGGCTCTCGAGGCGAGCTCCAGGAGAGTCGGGACAAAATCGCTTCCTGACTGAAGAAATGCGACCGTCAGGAGCTGGAAGAAAAGGCCGCGGATTGGGCGACCGGTGTATCTACCCCCTGCACAAGGAACCCGATTTGGACGTGTTCCGCCTCCCGGAGGGTTGGCAGAGCGACTTTGCGGATCATGGCCGAAGGACGACTGGAAGCCGCGGGCGCCCAACAACCCGACCAGGCAGGGGGTTCTGGATCAAAGGATCCCCCCGACCAGCCTTAAGCGTAATGATTGTCCCCGTTGTAATCGGGTCTTTTGACTTTGTAATGAATGAAATCATCTTTTCAATTTGCAGTTCGCTTTTCTCATATATTGTGTGTACAATTTACAATTTGCGATTTACATAATTGCTACAATTTTTACATGCGAACAGAACACATACGAACTGTTTTAAGCGAACAAAGTAATACTAAAAAAGAAATTAACAAAAAATGAAACTGAGTTCAAGATTACTGGTAGTACGGCCGGAGGTGCTCGGCGTTCCAAGCTCAGGGTACTTTGGAACCGTTCAACCTTTTGAGATGGTAGGTCCCCGGTCGATTATTTTGTCGACCCGGTATGGACCTTCCCAGTTAGGTCCTATTACCCCGCGCTTGGCTCTCTGGTTCCGAGAAGAACTTCCTTTAGCACAAGGTCTCCGACCTGGAAATCTCTTCGCTTGACCTTTGAGTCGAAGAATCTTTGCTCGCTGTTGTAGGCCGCTATCCTCAGCGAAGCCTTGTTGCGGTGCTCTTCGACCAGATCCAAACTTGCTCTCATTAGTGCTTCGTTTTCGTCCTCATTGTACAAGTCCCTCCGAAGACCCGATTCCGCCCTCTACAGGGATCATTGCTTCACAGCCATAGGCTAGCGAAAATGGAGTTTCCGGTGGAGGTCCTTGGAGTTGTCCTGTACGCCCACAAGACTTGGGAGGTCGTCAGCCCAATTTCCTTTGGCTGCCCCGGCTTGGCTTTCAAGTGTGCTTGATGGTCTTGTTGACTGCTTCACTTGGCCATTCGCCTGCGGTCTGGCGACTGAGGCAAATTTTTTATGGATGCCCACTCATCGCAAAACTGCTTGAACTCCTCATTATCGAACTGCTTTCCATTGTCTGAGTGAGGGTGTGAGGAATTCCGTAGCGGCACTATATTCTTGAAAACGAAGTCTTTCAGCTTTCTGGTCGTGATCGCGGCTAGCGGCTCGGCTTCGACCCATTTCTTGAAGTAATCTACCGCGACCACGGCATACTTGACCCCTCCCTTTCCGACCGGCATGGGGCCGATAGGTCGATCCCCCACATGGAAAACAGCTAGGGGCTAGACATAGTGATCAGCTCTGAGATGGAGCTCGCGGTGTTCGCGAATCGCTGACACTGTGTCGCATCTCTTGACAAAGTTGTGCACATCCCCGGATTCGGGGCCAATGTATCCCTGGCGAACATCTTATTCGCAAGAGACCAAGCTGCTGTGTGTTACCGCAGATCCCCTCATGAATTTCCCCATGATGTAGTCTGCTTCTTCGCTGGTCACACATCGGAGGAGTGGGGCACTGAATCCTCTCCTGTACAGCTGATCCCCGATGAGTG